GTTCCCCGCCTGCCTTGCCAGCCTCTGAGATTGCAGTTTGAAACATTGTAACAAATACGGAAGCTAAACAAAACCCCAGAAACCTGCTTTCAGCGAGCCGGGATCTCAGAGCTGGAGTTATACATTGTTTCGATTATAGAACCCAAATAAACCAGATACCTACTTTCAGCAGCAGAGGCCTCAGAGCTGGAGCCAGAGCTAAAGCTGGCCCAGAATAAAAATAAAAAATAGCCGAAACCGGTTTGGCTCAGTGGATAGAGTGTAGGCCTGCGGACTGAGGGGTCCCAGGTTCGATTCCGGTCAGGGGCATGTACCTGGGTTGCGGGCACATCCCCAGTGGGAGATGTGCAGGAGGCAATTGATCAATGTTTCTCTCTCATCGATGTTTCTAACTCTCTCTCTCCCTTCCTCTCTGTGAAAAATCAATAAAATATATTTAAAAAAAATAAAAATAAAAAATAAAAAAAGGAGCAGTTGGGAGCTTCAGCCCTCAGTCCCTCACCCAGACGGGCCAGGCACCCCAGTGGGGACCCCCACCCTGAAGGGTGTGTGACCAGCTGCAAACAGCCATCATCCCCTCACCCAGGCTGGCCAGGCACCCCAGTGGGGACCCCCACCCTGATCCAGGACACCCTTCAGGGCAAACCAGCCAGCCCCCACCCATGCACCAGGCCTCTATTCTATATAGTAAAAGGGTAATATGCCTCCCATCACCGGGATCAGTGGAGCCACGAGGCCTCCCAGCACCGTGATCAGCATGACAGGGGGCAGCGCCCAAACCCCCTGATCGCCCTGCGGCTCTGTGTGTGATAGGGGGCGGGGCCACAACCTCCCTATCGGCCCTGCTCTGTTCCTGACAGGGGAAGGCGCCCTAACCTCCTGATCAGCACTGCTCTGTGCCTGATACGGGGGAGCTCCCCAACCCCCTGATCACCCTGCGGCTCTGTGTGTGACAGGGTGCGGCGCCCCAACCCCCTGATCGGCCCTGCTCTGTGTGTGACAGGGTGCGGCGCCCCAAACCCCCCCCCCCACGGGCCCTGCTCTGTGTGTGACAGGGTAGAGCCATAACCTCCCCATCGGCTCGGCCCGGAGTGTGACAGTGGCGGTGCCCCAACCCCCTGATTGGCCCTGCTCTGTGGGTGATAGAGGGCAGCGCCCCAACCCCCTGATCCGCCCTGCTCTGTGTGTGACAGTGGGCGGTGCCCCAACTCCCCTATCGGCCCTACTCTGTGAGTGACAGGGGGGAGCTCCTCAACCCCCTGATGGGCCCTGCTCTGTGCGTGACAGGGGGTGGCGCCGCAACCTCCCCATCAACCCTGCCTTGAGTGTGACAGGGGGCGGTGCCCCAACCCCCCAATCGGCCCTACCCTGAGTGTGACTGAGGGTGGCATCGCAACCTCCCAATCCGCCCTGCTCTGTGCATGACAGGGGGCAGCGCCCCAACTCCCCAATCGGCCCTGCTCTGAGCCCGACCAGGGGCTGCACCTAGGGATTGAGCCTGCCCTCTGCCACCCGGGAGCAGGCCTAAGCCAGCAGGGCGTTATCTCCCGAGGGGTCCCAAACTGTGAGATGGCACAGGCCAGGCCGAGGGACCCCGCCCTTCCCCCCGAGTGCACAAATTTTTGTGCACCAGGCCTCTAGTTTACTTATAAAATATCATCAGTCTTTCAAGGCCCCATTTCACATATTCTTTGCCCATCATGTTACTTCTGATCCACCCACCAGATGTTTGTGCTCCTCCATTAACATCCATTGAATCTTTTTATTAACCTCAGAATTCTTGTTATGAGGAAGTGAATTTTCCATTATTGGAAGTATTCAAGAAGAGACTGAATAATTACATATTGGGGATAGTATAAAAATTTTTTTACTTCTCTGTGTAAGTATTAAACTAAATAAATGACTTCTGAGATTTTTTCCAACTCAGAAATTTTTAAGTTCATGAAAATTCCAAAAAATTTGAGGAGAAAACATTTTATGCTATAGGTATATGATATTGATAAATGAAGCCTAGTGGTACCAGATACAACTTTTTATGTAAAGTTAATAAAATAATTTGAAACACTTCTTTGGGTTAATATTTTATGCTTTCTCCCTAAGAAATAACTTCCTATGAGTTTTCTGTAAAGTAGCAATGATATCAATTTGAGTGGCATCTCCTTTACCTCCTTCCTTCTTGTAGAGATGTAAATGAACCATAAAATAACAAAACTCAGGAAGAAAATGAACCAGGCCAGACCTGTAGACTACATAGTTAGGTCCTTATTATTCAAAAGTGGACTATTTTGAATTTTATGGTTTTAGGCAAGAATTAATAGTTCTCTTCTAGATATTGCTGAGATCTATTTATGAAATTAGAGAAATTATTAAGTGTTTTTTGATGTTCATGAAGAAATTCAGAAACAAAAAAGAAAATAGCCCTGGCTGGTTAGCTCAGTCCGTTAGTACATCATCCCAATATGTCAAGGTGGTGAGTTCAGTCCCTAGTCAGGGCACATACGAGAATCAATCAATGAATGCCTAAATAAGTGGAACAACACATTGATCTCTCTCTCTCTCTCTCTTTCTTTCCTCTCTCTCTAAAATCTATATATATAAAAGCCTAAGCAGCTGGCCAACCGGCCATCCAGTAGGTATGATGCACACTGACCACCAAGGGGCAGAGACTCAACGCAGAAGCAGAAACCACAGGCGTGGAAACATGGAACAGCCTGATGAATCTCAGAGGGAAGGGGATGCGGGGAGGGCAGAAAGAAATTAACCAAAGATCTTATATGCATACTAGAGGCCCGGTGCACAGATTCGTGCACTGGTGTGGTCCCTCAGCCTGGTCTGTATGGATCGGGCCAAAACCGGCTCTCCAACATCCACTGAAGGATTCCAAATTGCGAGAGGGCAAAGGCCAGGCCAAGGGACCCCACCAGTGCACACACAGGCTCTAGTAAATAAATAAAAATTTAAAAAGAAGAGAAAAAATAAAAAGAAAGACCACCCTATAAAGCCAAATACACTTTGGTTGTATTTCCTTTCAGACTCTTCTCTTGGCATAGATAATATGTTTGTGTTTGTATGCGATAAATTAAAATTATGCGACATAGTTTTTGTCTCTGTGAAGAATCCATTATACACTTTTTATAAAACTGTGATTTTTTTCCAAGTATTTTAAAGTTATTTGGGTCGGAGAAGAATATAAAATTAAACAACTGGAAAATGAGCTACAAACTATTGAGGTGGATAATGTTTAATTCTGAGAAATTTGATAGAGAGCTATTTTCATATACAAGCAAGGATTCATAGATAGGTAGACAATTGCAGTAACATAGAAAGCAATTTTACCTAGAAAAGTCGATCTGGGGTTATGCAAGCAAAAGACAGAGATATGTGCATAGTGAAGGTGGGAAAAATCTGGGTTTTTTTCTTAGTTTAAAATTCAAGGTCCCTGAACACAGAGAGAATGAAGGAGTACAGAAGGGTCATTTGGTGGAAGTAAGCTAAGCATCCACTTTTCTTTTAAACACAAGCAGAAGTTAAAGTCTTTTTGTGCTAAAATTTTGTAAGTGACTATATCTTAGGCTATACTCTTGTCTTGTGTTGCTTAGCCATATCTTGAAAAGCCAGTCCTGTTGTTCCATGCCACTAATCACCGTCATTCACTTCAGAAAAATTAGAAATAACATTTTATGATTCATAAAGTATTTCACATTCCATTTAATACTAGTGCCAAATCCCAATTATTTCCAGAATTCTTAAAAGAAAATAATTAGTCGTTCATACAATTAACTTTATAAACCTAAGTGAACATGGTGGTAATTGACCCACACCTCTCTATCCTTGAATTAGAAAATACAATCCAATAACTGTAAGACACATTGGGAACCTTGGGTTTCTGAGGGACAATATTGTATTTGTCACACATTCCAGTGTGAAATATTTCCTGAGCTGGGGCCTTGACTGTACAATTGAAACCAACAATGCTATAGAGAGTCTGTAGTAAGGAAGGGAGCGTTTTTATACTCAGTTTTATTTGTAACCAGTCAGATGCCGACATCGCTGCTGTGCTCTTTCTGTTTTGAATCCTACTGTGTTGATAATTGCATGGTTGGTTAGACTGATGTGTGATAATGATTCGGTATTTGAAATGATGAGGCATGTCTCGTCTCTTTCTCTGTGAAATTCTAATTTGTAGTGAGTGGCTCAGAACACTCAGATTTGAATTATTCTGTTTATCCAAAAAGTCACTTATTAAATAAAGATGATGTTAGTAATTTTTAAATCAGTAGTTTGAGTCAGCTTTACTTTTTGGTTTGTAGACCAAAAAGGGTTAGTTACTTTGATGTTGGAACTCTCCAACTTGAAATCAGTTGCTAATGGGTGAATAAAACCCTATTGCAATCCAGACATGGTATTTAAGGAATAGTTTGTATCATTATTTATTATTAAAAATCACTAGATTCTATATTTTTAAACTATTACTTCTTAAGTATATAGATAGCCTTTAAAGTATCCAGGTATCTAAGACCTTCTAGGTCAGTGGTTCTCAACCTTCTGGCCCTTTAAATACAGTTCCTCATGTTGTGACCCAGCCATAAAATTATTTTCGTTGCTACTTCATACCTGTAATGTTGCTACTGTTATGAATCATAATGTAAATATCTGATATGCAGGATGGTCTTAGGCGACCCCTGTGAAAGGGTCGTTGGACTGCCAAAGGGGTCACAACCCACAGGTTGAGAACCACTGTTCTAGATCTTGAAGGCTGATACTGTTAGTAATATTTTAGGGCACTGAATTGTGTAACTAAAAAAAAAAAAAAAAAAAAAAAAAATACATTTTATTTATACTCAAATATAAAAGAGATTAAGAGATTTTGTTTGTACATAAAAGTCTACCAAAAAATAGCTACCAATTAAATAAAATAGAGAACAAGAAGGAAGGTATGTTCTTTTTAAAAGAATAAAGCTTCTTTTACACCAAAAATACGGTTCTTTTTTCTATTTCAGTGTAAAACCTGTTCTGAGCCAAAACAGATAACCAGTTCATCTGCCATTTATGACAACCCCAATCTCATCAAACCCATTCCAGTGAAGCCCAGTGACAACCAGCAGCAGCGTGTACCTCAGCCCAGCCAGGTACCCTGTTCTCTGCTTTTCATTTATGGCGTCTGTACAAGGCTCTTAACAAACTTTCACCCAGAGGATAGTCGAGGGAGGAGAGCCTGGTCCTGTTTGAGGATCCTTTCGGATAAATTTTTTAAAAAGAGATTTCAAATTAGAGATTCTTTTATTATTAATAATTTACTTTTCCTCAAAGGGGGTTAAAATTTTTACTTTTGGCATTTACCATAATCTCTTGTGTACTTGAACTCCTTACAGGATAATGTGGGTTTTTAAAAAAAAAAAAAAACAACAACAACAAACTAATAATATCATCAGCGTTAACAGGAATATTACCCAAGAGGCCCATATTCTGCTGAGGTTGATGGTTGGTTTCCCAAAGCAGCCAAGACAACAAAATTCAGTTTAATATTTCTGAACACTTCCTTTGTACCAGGTATAATGCCAGGTCACTGTGTGTACAGAATGGGTTTCCTGTCCTAAGGAATGGTATAAAAATCCCTTTTAGGCCTGATGATTTGTCATTGTATTTGTATCTCATTATGATAGCAGTTTTTGAATGAATATATATATATATTTCAGAATAGTAAAGCATTAACAAAATTGCTAATCTATGAGCCCCATTATTGTTTTTTTAAGATTTTTAAAAATTGATTTTTAGGGAGAGAGGAAAGAAAGGGGGAGAAAGAGAAACATCATTAGCTACCCCCTGCACACACACCCCCACCAGGGATTGAGCTCATAACCCAGCATGTGCCCTGACTGGGAATCGAACTGGCAGCCTTGTGGTGCATGGGATGATACCTAAGCTACTGAGCCACACGGGCCAGGGTATAAGTCTCATTTTTTATTGTAAATATAATGTGGCTGTTTCCATTCTTAGGTGTTATGCCTCATTAAAGGTTTTGTGTTTGTTTTTTTAAGGAATTGGTTTAAATTAATTTTAAAAATGAAATGGAACCAAAAGACAAAGATCAGCTAATGAAAGGCTCAAAGTCTCATATTGAATTTTTTAAAAATAAGTCTTTTCTAATTATCTTTTACTTTTATTGTTTGCTTTCCATGGAAATTTGTTATTTTAATAGAGAAATGAGAATATGTTGATTTGAGAATGAAGCTCCTGTTTTCTTAGCCTAATAATACAGAAAGCAACAGAAAGAGGCAGAGATGATATAGAGCAGGAAGGAAGCAACTTTGTAACTGGCGGGGCCAAGGTAGATTTTTTGATTTGATGGTTTTTTAAAGCTACTAATATATAGTTGTCAGCCAATAGTAGTTTGTACCAATTCAATGCGAACAGGAATCCTCAATTTGGGGTGCAGTGAAGAAGAAACTTTATTCAGTGCAAAATAGCTCCATTGTGATACAGCATGGCTGTGAGGCAGCCCTGGGCCAGGCAGCACAGGGCCCAGAGCTGGACAACTCTGCTCTACTCTGTGCCAATCTTCTTTTTACTGTGCTGGTCTGCTCTGCTCCAGTAAGACATCTTCAAGATTTCAGCTCAGCGAGGGAAACAGAGTCCTGAGTCTCCCATGGAAGGAGGAAAGTGCGCTCCCAGAGCCAGAGGAGAGCTGACTTATGTAGACAGAAGTCCCTGCCCCTGGTCCCTGGTTGGCCTGTCCTCATGCAAATGAGGACTCCAAATCCTTGAAATTTGATTGGTCCAAAAAGCACCAATAGTGCCACTCTGGTTGGTCAGAACTACACAGCTCTGATTGGATGGGGAAAGCCTCCATCCCACTGGTCGAAATAGGATTCCAGGAACTCCTTTATAAGCGCTGGTTCAGATGGCAGAAATAGAGTGCAGGCTTCACCATGAAGTGCAATTTGTGTCAGAGGCCCCTGGGTAGAAATGGCTTGTAGGCTCCTTTTAAACAAAATTGAGCCCTGTTAGCTACTTAGGAGGTATCTTTCTTCTCAGAGTTCACACAGTTGAAAGGATCAAGTTAGACTAACTGACATGTTTCTTTCTCACCCTAAATTTCTATAATTGTGCAAAAAGCTACCAGGAATTCTGAAATCCTCATGTTCCTGTGTATTCTCAGGATGTTATACTTTGCAGGGTTAGATGGACTTCCTGCTGAAGAGATTATTTACCTTCTGGTGTATATAATTTTGTACCATAGTGGTTCCCAATCTATCAAAGCTCACATCCTTATTTCATCATTCAACAGATACTAAAATGTAACAGTTATCTTGAGAGTAGTAGGGCAGAATGCTGTGAAAATAATTGGCATTAAGGTCTCAGTTTTGTGAAGTTTATTGTAATTAAGTGTTTTATACTCTAATCCTTTATAAATAGAAGAAACTATTGATTAGGTAAATTATGTTTCATAGCCCCCATATAACCAAATTGTATGTAGATCCATTTTGAGACATTTTTATTTTTTCAGACCTTAGACCCTGAACCCCAACACTTGTCCTTGACAGCACTCTTTGGGAAGCAGGACAAAGCTACATGTCAGGAAACTGTGGGGCCTGCACAGACCCTCCACCAGCAGCAGCAGCAAGAGAAACTTCCAATCCGGCAGGGGGTTATCCGTTCCCTGTCCTATGAGGAACCCAAAGGACACTCACCCCCCATCGAGAAGCAGCTATGCCCAGCCATTCAGAAACTCCTGGTCAGGAGTGCAGACCTCCACCCATTGTCAGAGCTGCCTGAAAACCAGCCCTACAAAAATGGCAGCGAGGCTCCTGCTAGGGAGGATTTTACTGGACCTGTCCTCCTGGGGTCTCCCCAGAGCTTTGGGGCATCCCATCGAGTCCATGGTGCTTCCAGAACTCGGAACCTGCTAGAGAAGCTCCAGAGCACCCCAGGGGCAGTGAACAAGTACGACCCTGGTGCACCAGCACCTGCCGGCCTAGCATCCCTGAGCTTCACGGCCCTCCCTGCTGCCACCCCTGCAGCTCCAGGAAAGGCGGTGGCTCAGCCGCCACTGGTACATTTCAATGGCTCCCTTCCACCTCAGGCACTAGGACATCAGGCTCATGAAAAAGATCAGTCCGCGTGCCCAAGACAAATGCTCGCCCTTTCTGGCGGTCAGACTAGTGGCTCTGGAGTGATCTCCCCTCAAGAGTTACTGCAAAAGCTTCAGCTTGTGCAGCAGGAGCAGCAGCTGCACATGTCCAACCGGCCAGCCTTGGCGGCGAAGTTTCCTGTGCTAACTCAGAGCTCTGGAGCCGGGAAGCCCTGGGAACCCTGGGTTGACAAGACATCCAGCACGGAAAAGCAGACTCCCCGTTTCCAGGTAAAGATCCACCGGGTGGGGGTTATCACTGTGATGCAGTGAAATGCAGAGTCAGCTTCTGTGCTCTAGGGACATAGCTGTCCTGAACAGTGTTGCAAAGCCACTTCTGTGCATCTTGTATCACCTTAACTTCCTGCCTGGAAAGAGAATCTTTGCTTCGCTTAGCAATCTGGGAGCTTCCCTCCTTTCAGATACTTTATTTGTAGAGTTAAATCTTTGCAGTTCATCAGGCTTGGAGACGGATGTGGGAAAGAACATAGACATGGTAGGGGATCCTAATCTTCATTCTGGGATAGGAAATGTCTGACCTCCTCTTGTTATTTTAGTCTAAGTAATCGTTGCTTATCCATTTATTTAGTAAATATTTCTGAGCACTGCTCCCTCCCAGACGCTGTGCTACACATGGGTGCAGAGTGGATAGGAGCACAGACGCTGCCTCTGCAGAGCCCACAGGCCTGGCGGGGGGTGGGGGGCGGGGGAGACAATGGAAGAAAAGTGCCATTACTCTGCCAAGGCCGCCTGTTTTAGTTTGCATCCTCTGCATAGCTTAATGAAGATGGAGAGAGGGATAACTATGCCATGCCCCCCCACCACCACCACACACACACACACATTTCCAGAGAGGAAAATATTGTAATTTTTAGAAATTGTTTATCCTTTAAGGAAGATGATCTCTATGTTCATCAGTAACTTAGAACAGAGAAAACCACAAGCTGTTCCATTGCCCATGGCTAACATCTGGAGATTGGACTGCTTTCTCATTTGGATTGGTACAAATTCATTGAAAATGCAATAGGTTTAAAAATTAGGAAGTTCTCCCTATTACATATCTCATCATTGGTTGTTTGTCACGTTTTGGCAAGTAACCAACAAAATCTTCCACTCTTTGAAAACCAAGATCATAAGCATGGAGCGTAAGTCTTTGTGTCTATGAGGCACTGAGTCACAGAGCTTGTGTTTATTTTTTATAAAATCTCAAATCTGAGTACCTATTTCTATGGAAACAGTATTTGTCACTCATCCTCGTTTCCGTGTAATCTTGTCCCCTTTTCTCTTTGATAGTTTAGAGCTGATGCTAGGAAAATTGGAGTTGGTACTTGGACATAAACGTCTGCACGCACAAATCTCTTGGCTTTCCAGTGCTCACAGGGGTGGAGCCGAGGAGCAGAGTGCACCCTGTCAGCCTCACGGTGCTGGCTGTCCTCCTTCGGGAGCGTCCGCCTCAGGCCCTCTCCTCAGAATAGCAGTGGGATAGGTAACAGCCTGCCTTCCTCAAGGCTGGTTTCTGCCCAAAAAGAAAGCAAGGGAACGATTATAAAATTACAGCAGCTTCATGATCACTGGCCTTTACACCCCTCCTCGAGTTCTTATGGAGCTTTAGGATGATAATAACATTTTCTCACCTGAGTTAGAAACAGATGAGAGAGAGAGAGAGAGAGCTGTAGGCGTCAGTGAAACAGGGATCAAAGTGTCACTTGCATAACTGCAAAAGCTGTTGGTATTGTGTTTGTTAGCCAGGTGAGGTAGACAGACTCGCCCAGACAGACAAGTCACTGGCAGTGCTGGCATGACCAGCCCCAGGACCTGCCCCAGCCACTCGAGCACGAAAAAGCAGGAAGTGTGTGCTCTCTGCAGGCAGGCAGATCCCATCAGGAAGGACCCGGGAGAGATGGACCCGGGGATCATGCCTCCCTCCTGGTGAGAAGTAGCGAGGAGGACCACTCTCACAGCGGTTCCTCCATAGAGACATCGAGTGGAAACGTGTGTCCCTCCAGCAACTCATGTATGTTGTTGGAGCTGTAGGTCAGAGTAGTAGACAACTAGCCCCGAGGAAACGGCCAGCAGTCCTAAATGCATGTTGCCAAGGGATGACAGTAAAGCAGAAAAATAAAGTGTTGCTCAGAGGCCAAGCACTCTATGCAGAGGGAACAACAGCCACCAGAGCGGACTGTGCCGGAGCTGCTTAGGAAGGACAAGGGAAATATGTGGGGAACTCAACAGGAATCAGTTCTCCTTGAGCTTTTCCAATTCAGTGAAATTTTGAACAATTCGGATTTAAGTTCACCGATGTCCACTCTTGCAAGCGAGTGGCCTCTGTCTCTGTACCCGTTGTATCAATGAGTTGCTACTTACACCTGCCCTCTTTGTATGTGTTTGCTCTGAGCAGGTCATCTCACCTCAGTGCATCCGTGCTACAGTTGCTCCTTCTCTGCTCATGTCCCCCATGGTGTTCACACAACCCACCTGTAGCCCATCAAAGGAGAGGGACCGTGGGCTCTTGTCCCTGGGAAGCCAGGAACCAGCTGCCGCCTCCACCAGCCTCTTCCTGCCTCTGCAGAGCCCAGAGCCCTCTGTACTCAGCCCACTTACCAAGCTGCAGCTTCAGGAAGCACTGCTGTTCCTCATTCAGGTAGGAGGGCCATCGTCTCTCTTCTTACCTTTGCCAATCCTGCTCGCCAGCTGGTTGCCACTCTGAGATAAGGCCTCAGTTAGCGAGTGCCCACATAGAACTGCCCAGGAATAAGAGCGATGTAACAACTCACCCTAAACCACAGTGGCTCTGTACTTGGCTGGGTGAGATTCAGAATACTAACTACAGCTTTAGGTGATTTGACGCCTTAAGGATTTTGTAATTTGGAGGAGGACTAAGTCCTCCAGTCTGTCACCTGTCAGAAAAGAAGGAAGCAGAAATTATAATTAAGGACCGTAGATGCTGTGGGCACCCAAACCGAGAGCTCCCCTCTGGAAGTAGAGGTGATGCTGTCTGCGCAATCGCTGGTGTTTAGTGGAGAGCTCAAGCAGACTGTAGAGCAAGGAGCCGGCAGGTAGGGGAGCAAGTAATGGCTGTGATACTAGGGCTGTTTGACAAATAATTTTGAAGCCTGCTAATTAGGACAGGATAGAGTGACGGGACTTCTTTGGCAGCCATGAGTTTTGTCTCTATGAGATAATAACAGCTAACACACAGAGCTGTGTCAGGCACTGTTATAATGCGTTACTTTCCTTAAGTCATTGAGTCCTTATACAGCAACACTATCATTTTTCCATTTTAGAGACAAGGAAACTGAGGTCACACAGCTAGTAAATAGCAGAGCTGAGCTCCAACCCCAGTCTGGCTCCAGAGCGCTCCTTCCTGCTGCCCGCAGTGGGGGCCACAGTAGTAACTCAGCCTCTGGGCTGTCTGCCCAGCAAAGCACATCCACAAATAAGTGGCAGGCCTTGAAAAGCAGGATGCTTTTCCCAGACTTCACACACCTCAGCGAACATCTTTAGGTACTTTTTTGATAGACAGTCTTAAGAAAACTTTTGTGATATTCGGCTTAGAGAGCAGGCTTTTAGATGGCTTTTAGAGAGCAGGCTAGCACTTTTGCAGCTGTCTCATCTTAAGAAGAAAATGGTCTCTATTAGTAAAAACATTTTTTTAAGGTGACGTATTTTAGAGAGAATGGAAGGAATTGGGCTGGAAAGTGGAAGACTATCTGTTAAAGAGGGGCAACAAATGATCATGCTTTACTAGGTCACGAATATCAGGATGCCAACAGTTTCCACCTTTTAAAGCCATTTGTGATAAGTTCATACGGACTTAGAACATCTGAGAACAATAAAGTGAACATATTTAAATGTTAAAGTTTCATATTTCTTCTGGCTCATTCCATTTAATCACATTGTTCCAAAGATCTCTGTGCAGGGGCCAAACTGAAAGCCTAGAGCAGTCCCTGTACAATGTTGGGCGCTATTTCCCCCACTCTCTGCGTACATCATACTTTTTCCACGTTTAGACATACTTTCCTGGTGAACTGTTAGAAGTCACTAAGCAGTTTGTTTTTAGTGTTTGCCTGTTGGTAGGACACAGTAGGGACTTTGTGTTCACTTTGTAAGAAAAACAGGGATATGTAGCTCTCCTTCATTGCGTGAGAATAATGCTAACTCTGTGCGTGGGTGCCAAGAGGGAATGTGCAATGTGGGTGAATTGCTAAAGCTTTAAAGGATTTGGGTGGGAAGCAGAAGTCTCCATCATTAAAAACAAAGCCACTGATTCTCCATCAGCCCGTAGCCAGGCAGAAGAGCCCAGAGACTGCTGGTCTAACTGCTGTCCACTTGCCAAGGCCAGAAACTTTCCATAGATGATGGAGAATTATACCGGCTTTGATATACCAAGGATGCACATTGCAAGTAAAGTCTTAACTAATGCCAAAAACAAAGTATTCGCTAGCAGTCTCCTAACCAAACATCGAGAACCACTGACTTGGATCAAGTCCTTCCTATCCAGCCATCTGTTGGGGATCGACAAACCCAGGCTTCTCATGAGTGATCCCTGTTCCATACACACATAGCTGGGCAGCCCGTCTGTGCTATATGTGACATGCTGGCCATTGAAAAACAACAGCGGACTCATCTGGCCTGGCTTCAGCCCCGCTTACCATTCACATGTGCAGTTTAAAACCGCCAGCTGTCAGACAGACAGGGAGAGATGAGCATCCTGGGCTCAAAGGGCCAGGCCGACTCTAAGACAGGGGAAGCCTTTTGTTCCTGCCCCCCAATCACATTCCTTTGGGTCTTTTGGTTTTGTTTTCCAGAATGACGACAACTTCTTAAATATAATCTACGAAGCTTATCTCTTCAACATGACACAAGCAACCATGAAAAAGACTATGTGAAAGCAAAGCATTTAAGAACTGATTCTCAAGGTCCTCTAGCTCAAGGTTTTTTCCTGTTAAGTGTTGTTACCCTAAATGTTTCTGCCTTTTTATAAAAAAAAAAAAGTATGTGTAATATGAAGTAAAATGTTTCCGACTTTTTTTCAGTCAAGCTTTAAAAAAAAAAAAAAAATACATGCTTCAGTACACCTGGCACTAAGAATTGAGTGGATAGAAAGAGTGCTTAGCTCATATCACACAGTAAATGCCAAGCTTAATTATTTCTTTTCTTACTATGGGCCATTTCTAGAAGAATTAGCCTCTCCATAGGGTGGGCTGTTCTGGAAACGTGGTTTCTTTTTTAATAGTTCTGGCTATATACTGTGAACAGAGAATGTGTGATGTTCCCATTGCTGAGCTCCGCGTGCTGCAGTGTGTGCCCACCACAAGGTGGCAGTGTCACCCCGTGGACTGACCTGCACAGCTCTTACCCAGCCTTTGGAAGTAATGCTGGTTTGCTTGTACCAAACAAAATAAACCTTTCTTCTGTAAAAGTCCAATTGGCATGTTTTCCCTGGGCCTTTAAAGGGAAATTATTCCTAAAGATGTTATAGCTGTTTTCTAGAGGACTGTTGTTCTCTAGGAGTCCACAAACAGCCCAGGTTTCTAGTAACATCTCATTTAAACCAGCTCATGCTATTTCTTTTGGACCCAACCAGCAGAGTATGCCTACCTATGTTTCAAGATGAACATTTTATAATTTTTAGAAAATCATGCTGAGAAGAAGATCATAGAGGATTTTAAAGCTTTGTCTTAGCCTCTAAGGATAGCTAGTGGATGGTTCAGGGCATAATGATAAGGACTCTTCAAGCTATGTAGCAGACTGATCTTTATGCTCAGAGTTGAGCTCAGTCTTGGGTAAAGTCAGAAGAACCCTTGCCAGGTTTTTCAGGCCCAAAAGAGTAGGCCTGGGAATTACTCCCTGCTGAGTAATAGTAACCAATAAAACTTGGCCGTTCTATAGCCCTTCTTATTCTGGATCATAAAAACATCTCTGGATGACTGCGCAGAGGGCAGGTTCTATTCTCATCTTGTAGGTCATAAAAGGAGGCATGGGGAAGGTAGGTGCTGAGACTGGGGCTCTGGCTTTAGACCTTTACTCAGGCCATCAAGCAAAGGGTTTATCGCAAGACCACCTCCCCACTTCCGCAGGATGGTACTTCTGAGGAGGAGAGGTGGGCGGAAAGGCAGTGACTCTTTAAAAAAAAAAAAAGAAAGAAATGTTTTTATTGACTTCAGAGAGAGGAAGGGAGAGGGAGAGAGAGATAGAAACATCAATGATGAGAATCATTGATTGCATCAGCTGCCTCCTGCATGCCCCCTACTGGGGATCTAGCCCATAACACTGGCATGTGCCCTGACTGGGAATCAAACCATGAGCTCTTGGTTCATGGGTCAACACTCAAGCACTGAGCCACACCGGCCAGGCAAGGCAATGACTCTTACTGAAACCTGTTATGTGCCATACTCAAGGTGGAGGAGTCTACTGTCATCCTACGTTTGGGAAGGGACGGTTTCTTTTGTCTCTTTGATTTCTCCGACAACCTCTAATACAGTGAAAAACCCATGTGACATTCTAACAAAATACTTTGGATTGATAATTGCTTATATAATCTATACTAATAATAGCCTAGGGCTGTCACGACTGGACAGACGACTGAACATCTGGGTCTCGGCAGTGGAGTCAGGCCTGGGTCCTGGCGGCAGCAGTGGCGGCAGTGGCGGTGGCGGCACTGGCAGGAGTCAGGCCTGGGTCACAGTGGTGGCAGCGGCGGGAGTCAGGCCGGGGTCCATCACCAGTTAGAAGGCATCGCAGGGTAAGGACCATCACCTCAGCCAGAACTCAAGATGCTCACCTGGCCTGGCCTGGCCCCTCCTCAAAGGAAGTCCCTTCCTCCATGGACACTGCAGAGGACAGACAGGGATGCCTAAGGGGCTGGGGCCATGGTACCCCATCCCTACCCTACTTCCCTGGCCTCCTTCACCTGTGGCCCCCACAGAAGGGTATGTATGAGAGCCCTTCCCCTGCTACCTCTCACCACTGTCTCTGGCCATCCCTCAGCACACAGGCATATCGGCTTTCAAACTTACCCTACTCACTTCCTCTCACCCCCTTCCAGGGCCTCTGCTCTGGATGGGGCCTTTGGAATCCAGGGCTTTGGGGTTTTACAACAGAGCTGGGGTGGGAAAGGGTAAACAGCACCAAAGATGGCTGACATGGCCACCCACCTCTGCCTCAGCTTGACCAATTAGTTCAGTTCAGAACGTGGCACTCAGAGGGGATCCCTACTTCTCCAGCAACGGCTCTAGGGCCTCGGCCCCAGTACCAACCTCCTCTCCCCCTTGGCCCTCCCCACAGCTGGTGCTTGCTGCAGCTCCGTGTGCCTTACTTAACCACCCCTTCCTTCCCTGTTCCTACAAAGGAGGCTGCATCTTTGTATGTTATATTCATATAAACTTGGTAATGTTTGGGGGAAAAAAACACACAAAACAATGACCAAGAGAATGCCGCAGTCAACGTCTGGAGTCCGGCTCAGGAGAACGGAGAGAAGGGCGAATTCCATAAGTTGGCCGATGCCAAGATATTTCTGAGTGACTGCCTGGCGTGTGACAGTTGTGTGACTGCAGAGGAAGGAGTCCACGTTTCTCAGCAGAACACCAAGGACTTCTTCCGTGTTCTGAACCTTTGCTTTGGTTTTCAGAATTCCCTGCTCCCCACCTGTTGGCTCCCTCCCTCTGCCGGATGCTGTTGTCGTCACATGGGTGCAACTGGAATATTGTACTTCGAGAGGATTGCTCCAATGTATGTATCCTTTTATCCAACGATGACAAAATCCCAAAGAATAAGAATGGAGACAGACTACTATCTTTTAGGCTTAAAAAAACTCCGGAAGTGTCCTGCGAAGAGCTGAGACTTGGTTCTGTCCACGTGCCTCAGAGAGATCGGATGAGGAAATGGCCTGGTTTGGCCCTGACTTTACCCACTTATGTTACTTTTGAAGGTGTCTTTGCCACAATGTGAATAAACTGCCACCTTTAACTTTTCTTGAAACAGATCTATGTTCTGCAGCTGTGGCCACTATCCTGAGACCAGGTCCTATTGCTGGGAATCAGGGGGCACTGGAGTGGAGTCCCCCCCACCCATCGTGTCCTTTTACATTCAGGGATTGAGCTGAACTCACTTTGGGGGAGGCCTGGCAAGAGTACAGGTGTCACAGATAGAAGGATGGAGAATGGAGAGGCAGACACCCTGCTCGGCCCCACCCTGGGTGGGGTCAGGCAGATGAAGGCCAGCCAGCCTGCCCCACAATTGGGTGAGATAGCGTCCTCTGTGTCCACCTCTTACCCCAAGGGCCTGACCACTCCCCGCAGCTCTGGGTAGCCCTCTGCATTCCACAACAGCACGCTCTGCCCTCAGATGCTGCTTGCCCTAAATGAGAAGGAAGAGAGCAGTTGGCCCACAGACAACTACACAGAAAGATAGGGCTCACGGCTGGCGAGTGCAGCGGCGGTGATGGGAGCCTCTCCTGCCTCCGTGGAGAGGAGCAGCGAGCTGAGTGTTAAGGAGCGGCGAGCAGGCGGGTGGTAAAGAGCGAGGGGTCCCAAACTGTGAGAGGGATTTCCAACTGTCGGCTTGGAACAGGGGAATGGACCTAAGCAGACAGACGGACGTCCCCTGAGGGGTCCCAGACTGCGAGAGGGTGCAGGCCAGGCTGAGGGACTCCCCCCAACCCCAGCCCCCAGTGCACGAATTTCGTGAACTAGGCCTCTAGTATCTTAATATTCTTATATGAAGACTGGGGCAAGCAAGAAGAGAGATTAAATCAATGACTGCTCACTTCAGCAATACATACAGTAAACCTGGAACAAAGTCAGTGACATACTTAACTGCTGGCCAACCTTTTTTAAAAAAAACATCTCTTTGATCTTTATTACATGTTGAGAGTTGCTTCTCGCTAAGGAGAAACGAATTCCTTTGTAAATGTTTCTAGTATATTTGGGGTAGCAAATGGCTAACTACATGAAATATTTTTTTACCTCAGTATTAAATTTAAAAAAAATCAATTGCAGCTGCTAATGAGAAAGGTGCATGTGATGTATAAAGACATGAACCCCAGCCCAGCACAGTCCAACCACACCGCAGGCCTCACTCAGGCCTTTGTAGATCAATAACACAGCCGTGCATTCTGAAAATAAGAAATTCTCATCCTTTATTGAAGTGATACACTGTAAAAGTGATAGACCCAATTCATTCGGACCAAAGACTAAGTCACCTCTTAAAGGACGCTTGGTGATGGGTGCTTATTCTATATATGGTGAAGCAGATGAGAGCTTCTTTGTACAGGAGCTTTCTATAGCGAGTACAAGAAATGGATTAAGGTTAGCTAAGGCACCCAAAATTAGACTTCATATATAAAGTAACTTCTTTTTCCTACTGCCACCCCAAAGTCTGAGACCATCATGGACCCCGCCCTTAGGTGTCAGTGGCTCCTGGCAGCAGTTTTAAGCTAATTGAATTTCAGATGGAGCCCTGAGGCTCTGTTGCTAACGGCAGCCTTGTCCACACAGTGGATTTCAGCCTTGTGAAGTTACAGAAGTTCTGCTGGTGTGGGGGCCGGACACATAGCTTTTTTTTTTTTTTAATGTATTTTATTGATTTTTTACAGAGAGGAAGGGAGAGGGATAGAGAGTTAGAAACATCGATGAGAGAGAAACATCGACCAGCTGCCTCCTCCACACCTCCTACTGGGGATGTGCCCGCAACCAAGGTACATGCCCTTGACCGGAATCAAACCTGGGACCTTTCAGTTCACAGGCGACACTCTATCCACTGAGCCAAACTGGTTTGGCAAGGACACATAGCTTTTGTCAGACAAACTTGCCCTTCGGTTCCTGGAAAGGTGAACTTTTGGGACTGTTTTTTCATGTGTAGAATGAAAGCCACACCCACTCACAGGGTCCTTAGGAGGATTAAGTAGGAGCTCCATATGGAACATGTCTCCTCCTACTGTGCCTCTGAGTGTGAGCTCCTGCCTGCTCCTCCACCTTGTCTGCTGTGCCCAGGCCTCTGACGCTGGGATG